ATTCATACAGGGTGGGGCACAGAAACTTCCTTTTTTTGAAGGCGAATAAAAGAAAAACTATTGCTGATAGACAAAATTTATGTTTAGCTAAGAAAGGACGTACTTTAAAGTTTTAAATCATGTAGTTTTAAACAAAATATCTTGAAGGTGGTGGCCACCATTCTCTATGCACTGATGCAACCGTTTTCTGAAGTTCCCTTCTGCACATTCCAACATGTGCACTGGAATTTGGGCTACTTTCTGCCTAATAACATTCTTCAGCTGAAGCAGGTTTGTGGGGCAATGTTTAAAAACCTCTGCCTTGAAGTATCTCCATAAAAAAAGGGGGGCGTTAGATGAGGTGAGTGCGCTGCCCACGGGATGTCACCTCAAAGCAAGATGAGCTGTCTGGGGAACTTTGCCTTCAAAACTGTCATCAAAGCTCGGGCTGTGTGGGCCGTGGCACCATCCTGTTGGAACCAGACATTTCCTAGATGCATTTCCTCAAGAGCTGGTTCGAAAACGTTTTTAATCATGTCCACATACCGCTGTGAATTGACGGTAACTGCATGATTGTCTTCTTCAAAAAAATAAGGGCCAATAACTCCAACTCTCGACAACGCACACCATACTGTCACCTTATCAATGTGAAGTGGCCTCTCATGGAGCTCTCTGGGACTGTTACCACTCCAATAGTGCATATTCTGCTTGTTGACATATCCGGATAGGTGAAAATGTGCCTCATCACTAACAAGTGAAAACAGGTGCGTCAGGGGGTAAAGTTTCCAGTAACATTTCACATGCCATTATTTGGTTCTGGAAATCATGTGGTGACAATTCTTGCACAACAACCATCTTATAGGGATGGAAATGAAGATGTTCGTGAAGAATTTGGCGCATTGAACAATTGGATATGTCTAGGGCGACTGCATGTTTGCGAGCAGAGCGTCTTGGAGATCTCAAAATCAACTGTCGAACTGCCTCCACATTTTCTGGCGTTGTCGTTGTCGTCCTGATGATTTTTTCACCATACTCCCGGTTGTCGTAAAGTTCTCTACCCACAAAACAATCAATTTCCGGTCGGGAGCAGGACCTCTGGGCTTAATTCTGAAGTGAGTACGGAACGCACGCTGCACCGCCACATAGGAATGGTTGTTCGAAAAATAGGCTTCGACAGCAAACGCATGCTGCTCACTCGTCCACCTCATGTTTCCTACTGAGGTAATTAGACAGAAACTTCCGCGACTGTTGCATTTGCCGAGCCTATCCCCGCTTTTCTGAGACCTCCCCTCCCTTCACAATGCGTCTTCACAAGAAGGAAGTTTCTGCTCCCCACCCTGTATTAAGCAGTACCAGAATTTTGTGGTTATAGTTTACTGTATGATCTTATAGGTCCACATGCTTGTGCTTATAACAACAACCAAGAGGATGTAAATTTCCAGTGACTTTACATACTTCTGTTCTGGCTCTTGCCATTATATACTGTACACTAGCTTTGTCCAATGTTACCAACTCTCCTGGGTGTATATCAAATTTGTTTTTTAATTGATATATTAATAGGACATCTTTTGTTGTACTATGCTCATTTAAAATTTGTTCATATCTGACATTCTGTTCTACATAAAACTGTGTCACCTGAAGGATGTTGTTATATTTCAGAAGTGAACCGCTAGATGGTGTGCATGTGAGTGATGAGCTTGGGACAGGGCAGAACAAAGGCTGCTGCTGCTGCTGAATCTGTCTCCATGTTCTCTTTATGCCACAAGAATAGACACAGCAGTATGAAGCATGGAGACAAATACAGAAACAGCTGGTTTACAGCATGAACACAGCTGTAAAATATACTGACTAAACTGACACTGTACTTGTATATATTACAGTTGGTATAAATACTGGATACCCTGGTATGCAAAGCAATATTTTAATACTTTAACATACCGTATTTACGCATGTATAGGCCTCAGCACAATTTTCAGACAGAAATTATAGAAAAAATAATTTTCTTGGAATATTATTTCAGGAGTAGAACACCCTGTATTACTAATTATGAATATAATTTTTTTTTAAATGAAGTGTGATTTCGAATATTTCGAATATAAGCCGCACCCCAGTTTTCCTCTTGAATTTTTGGCAAAAAATGTGCGGCCTATACATGCGTAAATACGGTAATACTATCAATGTCATAAGGACATCATTGTAATATGGTGCTACACTTTAACAAAATATCTATGCACTAAGGATCATCCTGTATGGCTCAAAATGTGTTCTTCAGTCAGTTGTTGGCAATATCTGTTATATTAGAATGATAATCACAAGAGACATACATTATGAATGAATTAAAGATGCTACATTTAGCTGAGATTTGAGGTACTCATGGCAGCAAGTATCAAGATGACAGTATTCTGAGATATGGTGCCATGTAGTGACATAGGCAGGTACCAATGTTCTATTCTCTGAAACGCTGGTATCTGACTACCAACTTCTATGGTATCACATCTTAGAAGACAATAATCTACATTTGCTGTTTCTTCCTAATGAACATAACAGATGATCTTTGTTTTAAAATATATTACTTATAACACCAACAATTTAAAACAATGGCAATTAATATAATTTTTATATCATCACAACAGTGTACTTAAAAACTATTTGGAAAGTAATCTCTGTTTATTTTAGGCAACTAATATAGGAGCAGGGGAGAGCTGGCACAAATGAGGTAGCATCACATGGTTCATTGTCTTGTAAACCATCACATAACTGGTCACCTGGTGTTTGTTCTTGTCTCTACAGAGTGAGTTATGACATGTACTGAGATTGATAATCCCTCCAGCCACAAAATTCCCACCTTTATCTGCTTTCATAAAGCTAAAAACATGAGTGCTGCAGAAATCCATTGTGAATTGTGCGCGGATTATGGCCAAAACGTAATGAAGGAAGGAACTGCAAGACAACAGTGTAGAATGTTCAAAGATGGGTGAACAAATGTTCATGATGAAGAACAAAGTGTTTGGCCATCTGCAGTGAGTGATGATCTTGTTCAAAATGTCGAACACATATTTGTGAAAGATGGCACTTCACAATTTCAGAACTTCTGTGTGAATTTCCACAAATTTCACGCACTGTTCTCTATGGTATTATCACAGTTAGGCTACGTTATCACAAGTTTTGTGCAAAATGGGTTCTGAAAAATGGTCACTGGTAGGTGTGCACAAAACGCAGAGAATGGCTTCAGCTTTGAATTTTTTAGGGTCATACTCCAAAGATGGAATTGAATTTCTCACTCACGTCATACAAGTAACAGGTAATGACATCTGGGTTTCATTTGTGAATGCTGAAACCCAACAGAAATCAGAGAAGTGGATGTACAGATACTCACCAAAGAAGCCAAAAATCTTTAAAAAAAAAAAAGCTGTCTGCCAGAAAGCTGAAGACAACCGTTTTCTGGGATAGGAAAAGGAGTGCTGATGGTGGACTTCTTGCAACAAGGAATCACATCAGAAGTGCATTGTGAAGCACTAAAAAACTGCATATGGCCATTCACAACAAGAGGCTTGGAATGCTGATATCCAGTGTAGTGCTACTCCATAACAACGTGTGTCTGCACACAAAAACAGATGCTTGCACTCAAGCACTACTGGAGCATTTCAACTGTGGGAGTTTATTTTACCACCCTCCTTACAGCCCTGATCTCGATCCAAGCGACTACAACCAGTTTAACTACCTGAAGAGCTGGTTCCGATCACAGCGCTTCAACAGTAATGAGCAGCTGCTGGAAGGTGTCAAATTGTAGCCGAGATCACAGGTGGCAGACTTCTTTGACACAGGCATACAGTATCTTATTCCCCAATACTACAAGTGCCTCAATCCTGGCGGTAACTACATTAAGAAGCAGCTTAAGTATGTACGTATTTTTTGTATATATTTTTTTTTCTGCTTGTTTTGCTAACAGCTCAACGGAGGTTACTTTCTGAATAGCCCTCATACCTACCAAAGTATTTGCTGCAATCTGTTTTCTGATATTCACATTCTTTTTATCTGATCAGATGTGTCTGACATGTGGTAATGTTTTTTTGACAAAAATTATATATCATGCTGAATGGCATATGGAAACCACAAAGAATATATGAAGATACATCCCATGGGTCTAAGTCATTGATCTCTCCTTGCTATTTAAAAACATTTCCAAGATCATATAGTAAAATTGAGTAGGAATGTATGGGTTAACTAATGTTCATAAATTAATACCATCTGTTGGAAAATAAAGTAATTATCTTTGAATGTGAAAAAGTTAAATAGTTCCGTTCAGTGTGACTGGTTATGATCTTCTGAACTGGTCACACTGAATGGAACTATTTAACTTTTTCATAATATTAGTGTGATGGACCAGAATGAAACAAATCAAAATCTTTGAATGTGTTTATCATGTACTAGTGAATTTAAATTATAAAATAAGAACTTAGTTCTAGATAGCTGCCATGTTCCATTTAGGAAAAAGAAAGAATTGTTACATTACACATACTTTAAGCATATTTTTGTTATACACAAACTCATTTATTACTATGCTTTAGTCTAGGTATCAAAGGAAATAAAAACAAACAAGCAAAAATAAGACAAAACTTAGAATATAACGTTCCTGTCATAGTAATATGAATACCAGGATTCACTAATAACTTAAGTCAGTTAGCACAATGAACACATCAGCATCATCACTAGACTTGTAAATCTATTTTTTGAACTACTGTATCTTTTGTCACAAAGCCAAATCTATGGCTTGGATCCAGTTCTCCTCACAAATAACACAGTAAATATGTGCTACTGCAAGCCCATTGTGTACATCTGCGTTTTTAATGACACACAGATTCCAACTTTTGTTCTAAATTCTAAATGCCTTTCATGTTTTGTACCTCACTGTTGCTGTTGCAACCAATAAAGATGTGTCAACATATGTAAAGCAGCTGTGGAAGTATGTGCAGACTCTGCTTTAAAAAAATTAATAAAAATGGTGAATGTTTTCTACTTACACCTGTGAACTGCACAGTTTCTGCCTCAATCCTTGGATCACTATTTGACCAGTAGCAGAAGAGAGTGAATTATTTGTCTGACGACCAACAAATGTACTTGAACGATTGGACCTATTGTCAATGAGAGAGTCCGGAACACTCCCTGTGCTGCCACATTCTGAATTTGTGCAGGACAGTGAGCACCTCAGAGCCCTAGTTACTCTCTCCTTAACCATCAAGGTTCTATTTTCTCTCTCCTTTAGCATTTCTTGCTGTTGTAACCTGTGACAATATAGTGGGAATCTGAATTACAAAATGTCTGACAGACGTTTAAGAATTTTAGAGTATAAACACAATTAGCTGTTACCATCTATATAACACATTACAGTCTGGAAATTAACAGAAACATCAAATTCAAACCACAGTAATTTGTAATGTAAAAAGATGATTATGAACATAAATGAGCATAAAATGAAACCTGTATTTTAACCCTTCTTATCCATTTGAAATGAATAATGCCTGGAAAATAAAATTAAACTATGATCACCCCAAGGTGGGCCTCATACTCTCCTGCAGCAGCACCCCCTTCCCTCCTTCCAACTTAAGACACACTGAGAATTATTCTCCTTACTATAATTAATGGCATTTCTCAAAAGGTAAGAAAACACAGGTACAAATTTGCAAAGACACAAAATAAATCAGTTTTTAAGACAAGCTATATTTGGAAGGAGTACCAAAAATTTTAATACAACTGAGACTGAAAGAAACGTCATTGTGATATATCACCAAACATATTAAGAAAATCAATGCAACAGAAACAAGCACAGAATGAGCAACACCTGCTCCCAGGAAAAAAAAAGAGAGTAATAAATTACTAGTAAAATTTGAATGAAGTTCATAAGTCAATTATCGATAACATGGACATAAAATAAGTATGAGATATATTAAGTAAGTGGAAGGCAATTTCAAGAATTACTTTTATAAAGTATCATATTATTATTAATGCAGTGTGAAATTTTATATGGCAGAAATTATACTAGAAGAGAGAATAAAACCAAGGCATGGAAATTGAAAGACAAAGAAACATGCAAAATGTCTGTAGACATAACAGTATTCTTAGGAACACAGCACTGAATCATCTTATTCCATAAAAGGTAGAGAAGTTCCTAAATGAGGAACTATCGGCTTCTGAGAAGGACTCTGCAACATGATGTTAAACATAATAAAATGAAGTATCTATGTGAATAAAGTAAAATGAACTATGCCCAATTTCCAAGCACTGTCACTGAAATAATTCTAAATGCATGTAGTAGGAAGGTACTTGGTAAACAAAAGAATAAAGTTAAAATAAGTAGAATGAGGCAGGCAAAGAAGAGTGAAGAATAAGGAGAAGGGGTAAAAAAGCTACAGCAACCAAAATATTACAAAATGTGACAAGAAAGAATTTTTAATAAACTTACACTAATGAATAAACATAAACTAAATTATATTGTTATTGTAACTGTCAAGTAACTTTAATTAGGAATAAAGGAAAATATTTACACACTTGGAAAGGATATTTGGGAGAACTGCTGTTAAGTAGACACAATCTTCAGCAATAAGAAGGGAAAACTATATTCCCCCCAAATAAGGAAAAAATAATGAGAAGGTATGTACACCAGACATAGATAGAATTGAATAAAACAAATATAACAGGATTACAGTAGATGTACAGAACTATGAGAATGATATAATCTGCAAATGAGAATCAGAAGAGAGAAACAAAGAGTTGATATAGCTATGCATATGAAGAGGAACAATAACAACAAAAAAACTATCAGAAGCTGAGGGGCATTATTATGGGATTGACTAAAGGACTGTTGCTAGAACATAAAAATGAAAAACAATTCATTCATGTGAACATGTTTATATACATACCTAACTTTAACAGCTAAATAATAGTTAAACAACATAAACTACAGTCCGATACAATAAATTCACTTACTTATTTAGAAACATGCACAATATCGTACAAAGGAATATGATTTTGATGAGACCAAATTGCTTACAGGTAACAGAGCACCTCAGAGGAAAAATAAAAGCAATATATGACATTAAATACATAAAAAAATCCAAATACTTTATATAATGAGTGATGGCAACATAAGACACTGTTTTACTCCTAGTATTGTTCAATATAGGTGTAAACAAACAACCGAATTCAATTCAGTACCTACAGTTTATCTGTTCAAGCACATTTCTAAATGCCAAAACTTAATTTTTATCATTCAGGAATAGAGGATTTAATTCCCCCAAACTGTGTGTGCTGGTGGCCAGAATTTAACTCAGGACTGATGTTACTGGCACTGAAAACATGCAATACTAGGCCAGAGTCGTGCACATATACCAACAAAATAAGGCAACACATGGCTATTGAAAACCTGTCTATGGAGCATCCTTCTGTTAATACAAAAACACTGGAATAATGTAAAAATGTACTGCTCACCAAAGGGCTTTCATTTCCCTGTCCTACTTGAACCTGGCAATTCAATGAACTTTTTTCCCAGCTGGACAAAGTATCAGCCACAAATAACTATCCTATTATCCATCACTAGTGAAACAGTGCAGCTAAATTAACCATGCATATGCACCAAGCTATATTTTTCCTCAATAAGAATGCTGGTATAATGCTAGTTCTCGTGACTTATGTTTGGGAAGTACTAGGTGGTTCAAATATGACCGGGATTGATTTTTTTGTAAACAAGCCATACTGTGCAACCTTGAGAGAGTGAAGCCACAACCTCCAACCTCCCTCTTGTTAGGGTTAGAACCTGTTCAGTCCTGTCTGGAAGCTGCTAGAGTGATGAGTGAACAGAAGGTACCGCGGAGCGTGGAACAACGCATTGTGATCAAATTCCTTGTTGGAGAAAATGTCCCGTCCGCTGAAATTCACCACAGACTCCAACAACAGTATGGGGAAGAGTGTCTCTCACGGACCCGCGTGTTTGAGTGATGTAAGTGCTTCAGAGAGGGCAGAGAGCGCGTGGAGAATGAACTGCATGATCGTTCGCTGTGAACATCCGTCACCAAGCCAAACACTGATCGTGCAGACGCAGTTATTCGTGAGAATAGGCGCATCACCATCAAGGAACTTGGAGCAATGCTGTCCATCAGTATTGGTAGTGTAGAAGACATCATGAAATACCACCTGCACTATCGCAGGGTGAATGCACGGTGGGTACCACACACTTTGACAGACGTGAACAAAATGGTGCCGCATGCAAGTTGCCAGTTGTCTCCTACAGCAGTTTGAAGACGAAGGTGATACATTTTTGAAGCCTATAGTGACCACTGATGAAATGTAGGTGCACTACTTCATTCCCGAGTCCCAGCAATCATCACACGAGTGGCGGCATACCAGTTCTCCCAAACCCAAGAGCGCGTGGAGGAGCCGCTCAGCAGGAAGTGTGATGGCAACGTTCTTCTGGGACTGGCAGGGGGTTATCCATGTAGACTTTCTGACAGATGCCAGAACAGTCAATGCAGCTTATTACTCAGACCTCCTGGCAACAGACGTGAAGGAAAAGATCCGATCCAAGCGGAAGAGAGGTGGAAAGCGGGTAGCCTTCCTTCAAGACAATGCACGCCCCCATACGGTCAAAACAACAATGGAAACCCTCCAGAAATTGAAATGGAACCTTCTGACACATCCGCCGTACAGTCCCAATTTGGCACCAAGTGATTTCTACCTGTTTGGAAGGCTCAAATCAGACTTGCAAGGCATGTGGTTTATGGACGACGCCGTCATCCAGAATGTTCAGGAGTGGATACGCCGCCAACCACAAAACTTTTTTGAAAAGGGCATCAGGATGCTTCCAGAACATTGGAAAAAATGTGTTGACTCCGGAGGTTAGTACGTTGAAGACTGACATGAGCAAGTAAGTGTTCGGCAATTTTGGTTTAAAAAAAAATCACTCCCGGTCATATTTGAACCACCTTGTATCTCATTTCACTGAGAATACTGACTGAGGTATTACATGATTTTCCTTAATTTCTTCTGGTAATCTGTAGACTATTCTGCCTTCAGAACCCTTCTTCTCACCTTTCATATTAATCTTCACATCTCAATTGATGCCACATAACCTCTGCAGTTCTAACACTGCTGTTAAATAATCAAATAATAAATTAGAACCACTAAAAATTTAGATGAAAAATTCCACATTAGTGCTAACTGAAGATTAGCAATCAATTTAAAACCCTGGCTACATTTACCCTTCATGAAAACATACCTATAATGTGGATCTCAAAGCTGCTCTGCACACAGCACCACAAAAGAAAAATTTAAATCTCCAAATTTAAAATATCCAGTAAGTTAGCTGCAGCCATGAGGAGCTGTGAGACAGTCACCATCCAGCATGGACATGAACACAGAAGCAGTAGAATATCCATTGTTGGGAAATGTTACCAGGCAATGAATTGTGAAGACACAGAAGACTTTAAGTGTGTTACAGTACCATGATCTGTAGGGTGTGCAGATCTGTGAAACTGTTACTTGTAGTTATAAGTGTTCCCTAAATCCAATTATCAATCCAAACCAGTCACTATCCTACCACTATCCTACTCTCTATGCCTATGCCTCTCAACTAGGCTCTTTCCTTCAGGTCTTCCAATCAGAATTCTGCATGCACTTTTCATCTGTGGGAACATCCCACATTATCACGCATTTCTGCAACGCTCGCTCTTCACATCACTTTTCACCATCACGCGCGCTAACCAATCTGATTGCTTCAAATGTTCATATTTATACTGGGATCGCTCCTGGCCCGCATCTACGTCATTACGCGCGCTAGCCAATCAATTCTTCNCCAGCAGGCTTCGTCACCAGCGCTCGGTCTTCGGAGACATTGGCAGGCTGCGCCAGACACGACTGCCTCGGCCCTCCGGCGCTCTCACACCCGACTCACTGGGGCACCGCGCCTGGACTCGCCGGTGGTCGTGTTACGGTCCGACTCACTGGGCATCTGGCGTAGCCACTGCCTCATGGCTCCTACGACCGCGCTCAACGACTAGCCTTTTCACCAGCCATTCACCGTAACTAGCCTTTCTCCTTACCGGCGCGCGCCGCGCTACCTCACCGGTCAATCATCTCAGCAGCCACGGTCCTTTTCAGGTCCAACACACTGTTCCGAAGAAGTGGGTTGTCATCGGAGTAATGACAAGACTACACACATTGACAAGAGCCCCACACATCTATACCATACATGATAGTACATGCCTCATCCAGTTCATCCTCGATTTGACCACCATAATAAGAAATGCATAAAAAAATCTTGGTCAGCTAATCCACATTTACCAGAAATAAGCATTTAATAGTTGCTCCTAATTGTAACTGGCATGGTCTTCCTGCAAACAGATTTTTTAATAAGGCACTCAATGAAGCCGTCCTACCTTTCTTTTTTCTCCCTCTCTTGACGTAATCTCTCCTCCTCTTCCCTCTGCAACATTTTCTCTTCTTCCTCTTTCTGTTGTTTGAGCTTTTCCAAGCGACTTGACTGTCTACGAGGCTGATATTCTAGCATTCGCTTTCTGCAGGTCATAAGATAGTACAGTACTAGTGGATGTGCACATATCAAAAACTTGTACACCTAACACAATTCAGCAGAAACTTGCAATGGAAGAGCAAAAGCTTCAGTTCTGAAGAAAACATGTGAAACAATGTTAATAAAAGCAATCAGTATCCATGTGCTCATACCTGTAAAAGAATAAATACTGGTATGTTTCATATGAACTATACGCCTATCGAACATACTTCACACAGGTTACACTTTATGTACCAGTTTTTAAATCTGAAAATACAGGTTCATAATAAGAGGATATTTCAGAATTGAGTAGAAAACTAATATGATTCTTAAGCGTTCCTGAAATATCTAACAAATAACAGGAAGAAAAATCTGGCCCTATACCTAGCTCAATTTACAGCAGCATATTTTATTGGTCCAGATGTTCATTTACTGAAGTATAGATCTGCTGCTGATAGCTTATCATTCCAGGAATTATTTTCTCATATTTCATTAAATGTACACCACACAGAAAAGTCCCCAAATAGGAAGCTGTACATCTTAATAAGATCTATATTTATAAAGATCCTGTGCTTAATTAATTAAGGGCTAATACCATGAAGACATACAGGAGGGACAGGAGGTATAGCTAAACCACACTTGACCTTGGCAACAGATGGAGGTGAGTGGTAAGCTTCAGGCCCTGGCCACTTTACCCCCCCCCCTTTCCCAAGGGAAAGAGCTCTTGGTACCCACTGGACAGGAGGCTTGCTGTGCCTCACAGCCAGCCTCAATGCTGCAACAAAGAGAAAAATCTTGTCCCTGCCAGGATTCGAACCTAGGCTGTCCAGCCCATAAATCTGTCTCTACACCGACCAAGCTATCCTGACTCTGATCTAAATTCATAATAAGTACAAATTTTTTTCAGAACACTTCTGTTTTGGTTTCAAGTGATACAACGGAGAAGTATTCACCACAATTGAATTCACCCAAACTTTCATCACATTACAAAGAAATCCATCAAGTAGTTTCAGACATAAAACATGCTGATGGATGGAAAGGCGGATAAGGCCTCCCCAACATATGTTACTTAAAACAGTCTGTGCAATAAAGGCATAACAAAAACGATTAACTAAGAACTGGTGATGAGGGTAAGGGTTTTGACTGAAGTTCAATCTGCCTTTCACTTACAACACATAATTGTTCTTAAGATATTCATCAGACCTGTAAAAAATGCATTCAGATATTCAGCTGGATTGGACAACGCAGGAACCACAGTGACTTCCATGTGCTGAAGTTCAAGGGAAGAGTATAGGCACACAACAGTCTCACATTTTGTTGTAACAGAGGGGGGAAATGAGAATTTAATTACAATATAATTACATAATAAGAGATCCATGAAAATAACTCACCTTTGTAAACGTTCCTTTTCAGCAAAAAGACGTGGGATCTCGGGCAGAAAGTCCTCTGCGAGGGTATGGAATAATGCTCGTTCATTTTTCGATGTAGAATCTCTGAAACTGTCAGTGATCTTATCCCAGTCTTGTTCAGTGAAGCAAACCACTTGCCAGATACCTGCCCCCTTTTCATCTGATTCCGAATCTGGTGGCGGAGTTTTGCCTCGTTTCTTGTGACGCTTCTCTTCCTTCCCTCTATGTCGTTTCTCCTTAACTTTCTTTTTCTAGAATAGAATAAAATGATTAAAAGAACAGCTCACTTCACGCCCCTGACGTTATCTTAAAGGCACTACATACACAATAAACACAATACCTAAATGTACCATACTTCAACAGGCACCATTCATCAACTACACTTAATCCCATTTCCAAATGTTGTACATGCCAACAGCATCATAATTTCACAGAATATCCTCATGCAAAAGAACATAAATATGATCTCTAATGCTGTATAATTCAGCCTTTTCTGGTTGTTTAAATTGACAACACTTATTGATTTACACTGCTCTGGCAATACAACAATAGAAAATAAAACACCATACTTCTGGATTCGTTATAAGAAAAAAATAACCTGGAATTTCATGCAAACATAAATATGATCTCTAATGCTGTATAATTCAGCCTTTTCTGGTTGTTTAAATTGACAACACTTATTGATTTACACTGCTCTGGCAATACAACAATAGAAAATAAAACACCATACTTCTGGATTCGTTATAAGAAAAAAATAACCTGGAATTTCATGCAAACATAAATATGATCTCTAATGCTGTATAATTCAGCCTTTTCTGGTTGTTTAAATTGACAACACTTATTGATTTACACTGCTCTGGCAATACAACAATAGAAAATAAAACACCATACTTCTGGATTCGTTATAAGAAAAAAATAACCTGGAATTTCATGCAAACATAAATATGATCTCTAATGCTGTATAATTCAGCCTTTTCTGGTTGTTTAAATTGACAACACTTATTGATTTACACTGCTCTGGCAATACAACAATAGAAAATAAAACACCATACTTCTGGATTCGTTATAAGAAAAAAATAACCTGGAATTTCATGCACAATGTTTTACAATAAAACTCAAATCCATCCCATAAACCAGATTTAACCTGTGCACAACTTTAAAGTGAAGTAACAAGAATTCTGATATATACAAAACTCACAACTTTTGGATAATCCTCTCTATACAGTCGTGTGCCATAGAAGTACCAATATGCTGAGTGATTCTCATCATGTCCCAGAGGCTCAACTCGCAAACTATCAGACTCTAGGTTCTGAAACAAAACTCATTACTCACAAACTATCCAATTCCAAGTTCTGAAACAAACAACTATATCTGATACAATCCACCACATCAAGTACTTGTAGGACTATCTTATGGTATGAAGAGAAATCACCTTGTAGCTGTGCCAATACACAACTTTCCCACTGTATGTAATCAGTGCATTGGTTTCTGCCTTTTCCACTTGGTCATCTGCAGTGACAGTACAAAGTTGCATCCAGACTGCAGAATGGAGTTTACTTACCTGCATTACAGAAGATGCTGAAAAGAGTTCCCTACAGACCCAGGATATGGTTTTCACATCATCTTAACCAATTCATCGTACACATTACAGGTGTTCTGTGGATGCACGGGTCAGTTCCAGATATATGCGGACTGATTCAATAAGATTTTATCATTTAAATGTTCTCACAAAAAGAAATTGTACAGAGTAATATTAGGAGAAATAGGTGGCCATAAAACACAATTCACAAACACCTTCACCAAAAATTCTATTCAAGGTTTGCATGGAATGCTTGGTGGTACACAGAATTCTGTTGGAACTTTGAGAGATGCATGAAAAGTGACTGCAGTATTAACCTTAATATCTGTCAGCAATTGTTTCTGTAAGAAATACAGGGCCAATAATCCTCCATATATTTAGGGCACAACAAACATAAATTTTTACTTCATGTATAAGAAATGGATTTTCTGTGCTCCAGTGATTTATTTTATTCATTCATACATCCATTCAAGTAAAATCAAGCCTTGTCTAAAAAAGTGTCCACTCAGAATGAAGTCAGCTGTCATCAGTTGTTTAAAGATACCATTTACAGAAATCGGTCTGAATACTGAATCACTTTGCTGAAAAGAATGCATAGCTGTGAAGTTATAAGGCCACAATTTCAAAAACTTTGAAGTGGTTCCTTTTGATACTCTGGTTTCTTGTGCATGGTGCTTAAGAGGAGATTGTTCAGTTAACTAAGCTACAAATTCCCAACTTAGTATATATTACATGACAAAACAGCATGTGGCTATGTTCCTGTATGCCCTGTGCTTTTCCCCACACTCCCTATGTGCCTGCTTCCTGCCTAACCATTCTCTTTACCCATCAGCTAGACTTGCAAGTCAGGAGGGCAGAAATTCATTCGTGACTATGCTGTTGAGCTGGTAGGTATTCTAGCAGCCACAATGTTGCTGGTGTGGATTTTATGGGTAGCTAGATACATCCACTGTAATTTGGGGCCATATGGTGAGTAGTTGATCCACTCATCTCAGGCAGATTCCCCTGGCTTGCAGTCTATTCTTTGCCTAGCCCTACATCTCCATTTGATTGTCTATTTTTGGTTTATTATTTGCTATTGTTTCATGTAACTACCCTTGTTATTTGGACTTAGCCTTGTTACTTTTTAACTACGCATTTTCAAGGAGTTATTAACAATCTTATATTCTGATAAGTTCCTGCATTCTGGTGGTAAGACTTGAGCAGAGACTTGGTTTTTATATTGCGTATATATCTAGGCCATCCTGCCTTATTACAACATACCTTCAATAAATCTTGCACATCCTCAGCATCGAGTCTGAAGTCACACAAAGCATGCAGGATCTGCACCTTTGTACGTAACGGAAGGAACTGGAAGTCAATGTCAGTGTTGAAAGGATTGTCTCGCCCATATTCCTGCAAAATTTCACCTTTATTATTAATGTTTCAAGACCATTACATTACAAAATTTCTGACACCACATATTCAGACTTTTCTTCTGTTGAACTCATTCATCAAATTGCTTACAGTCTTCACCGATTCATTAGTCAAACTTTCATGAACATGATTTGCATACTGAGAAATACAAAAAGAAGCATGAAGGACTATATAGCACATACAATCAAATCACTGATTTTTCTGCTTTGTTCTATGAAAGAAGAGTATAAAAATAAAAGTATACTCTTATAAAACATGTGCTACTGCTTATCTTAGTATGATTTAGATATTGTTTATGAACACTAAATGTCGGCTCAGGATGTTGTATGGTAAGAGAAAAGAAATTCAATTTATGCCCAATTTAATGCATACAAAGTATTTTGACCCAGAACTGTGTATATAAGATGACATCCCTTCCCAGTGGAAAAACTTAAGGACAAATTATCTGACATGAATTTAGTGTTTAGTTGTTGTGTTTTGTCATTTTTCCATCAGCACATATTGATATCTAAATGGTGCAAATCCTTGATGCTGCACAGTGATTATGGTTTTTGATTTAAATGTCCTTGACACTTCATGTTCTAGTAAATGACTCTAATTATGAAGCAATTTTTATTTATTCTTAGGGTGAGGTGGGACTGAGTCCCATGGTACATACACCTTAAATGGTACAACTTATCTTCCCCAGATGACAGATGAGAGAAAGGGAGCATTTTGTGGAATGAGAATTGGCAAGTGAAACCGAAACACCCAGAGAAAACCTGTCACAGTGCCACTTGATCCACCACATATTCCACGTGGACTGACCTACAATTAAATCCAGGCTGCTACAGTGAGAAGCTACCGACTATCCATCTGAGCTATGGCAGAGCCAATTAAAGATAATTAAAAATATTCTTATATGATTAACATTACTTCAGTAGAAAACAAGAGTGAGAACTTACTATTTTTTCTTCCAATAAGCAACTGACTAAGTACCTAACTACTCAACAACCTATCTCTGTGGATCCAAGTTCTTGCAAACCTAACAGCTGCTCATTCACTCAAAAAATTCCCAGCATTTTATAGAACCTAAAGGTTCACTACCAAGTTCACAAAAGCCCACCACTGGTCTCTATCCTGAGCTAGAAGAATCCACTCCACACCATTTCATCATACCATGCTGGCCGTGAGGGCAATATAGTTGAGACATGTCGAGGGTCCCACATTTTCTAGACAAGTGGCTCACAGATGGCAGTAAGGTTTCATCCTATTTCTTCCAATAATCAAAAGATTTTATGGCCTAAGATAAGAGGAATATGGTAACTATACTCACAAAATTAGTATTTTTATGACCCACTGAGCCTCTTTTAATGATTTTCATTTGAAATTACACTGTATAGGCAAAGAAAGACAAGTCCTTGTAACATAAGTTATGACCCACGAGTCCCAAATAGCTTTATGTCCAGGCCTTTATAATACAATTTATATAAGACTACTATGTACTCTTGAACATTTTCCCAAATGATACCATTCATATTACACCCAAAATTACAAGGCACTTACAATGAAGAGTAGGCTATAATAACATTCACAGTTAAACTCCAGGACCTGCAGTCAATTCCTCTAAATTGCTCTACAACTTCACCTCCTTTTGTCCTATTGTTCTACAATGGCATGTCACCATTTCCACGCCTGTTCAGTCATGTGGCCATCAAAATATAAATTCCTGTTCCCTGATGCTGCGAACAGTTCTTGGAGATCAAGTGGGTATTCAGAGATGTCAACCTAGGGTGTTAAGTTACCAATTACAAAAGTCTGCTTTAGATGGAAGAAAATCAGTGCTTCTTAAGTGGAGTTTCTGCTCTATTATCAACATCTATGTCAGTAATCAATGTTAGGTTACATCAGTTTACTCTGATTTTGTTTTGTCTGTGGTCTGGTTCAATTTCTGTTTTGATATGGACTGATTTTTTATTGTTTTGATATTTTCCTTAGGTTCTTGGTGAGGTGTGCTTCAGCCTGATTTAATTTTTTCTAGGAAATTCACTTCCGTATATTCCTTTCCATACACACAGCAGTGTAGTTGGTTGAGGCACTATGTTACAAGTCTGAAGGTCATGGGTTCTGTTCCTGATGAGGTTACTGGATTTTTCAACTAACTTAATCTTAACCGCATTACAACCCTCGAGCTGACTTAGCCTATAACAGGAATGAGTACCAGGGATTTTCCTGGGGGTAAAGAGCAGCCAGCATGTTAGGCTGACAACTTCACCGCCATCTGTGAGCAAATTGTCTAGAAAATATAAAAGCCTTGACATCTCTCAACTCCATAAGCCTCCACACCCTTACGGGGAGAGATTCAACATTTTTTTTATTTTTTTTTTTAAGTTAGGCCAGGAACTTGTAATCAATGTGACATTACAGTCAGCTGCATTTCCTTGCATAAATTCAAAAATATTTCACATCTCCAAAGAATCACAAGCGCCTGTTGGTAAGAAATACGAATGTACAAAGTGGCAACTATGTGATGTTGATACAGATGTGATAACTGTGTGAGAAGACATGTATAATTATCTGTTTATGTTCTTACTTTCATGTCTTCTTGCATATGGAGATCTTAGCCAATTCATTACAATTAATCATCCATGTTTCATGTTTTAAAGCTCCTTTAAGCTCTCTCAGCACAAATTAAACTTCTGCTCAGCTCTGTGACATCTGACACCCGAAATAAAGGGGTGGTCTGTCTGCACTGTGCAAGTTTGGAGAAGACACTTCTGTCTGCATAAATTAAATTTATATAAAATCCTCAAATTATACTGCAATGTAGGAGTCAGAAGAGCACAGTTGGTATAGTAACTGACATTGGGCTGGACAACCAAGGGATCAGAGTTCGAGTCCCTGTAGGGTCAAGAATTTTCTTTTCTCCCATCATCCAGACTGGCCCTGGGATACACCCAACCTCCTATCCAATGGGTGTCGGTGCATCTTTCACCAGGGATGAAGCGGTTGGAGCGTGAAGCCAACCACTTACCCAAGGTCAAGAAAATGTGGATCCATACATCCACTCTCCCATACACCGTCCTGGTGTAGTGCTTAGTTAAGCACAGAGACAACTTTAACTTTACCTTATTATACCGCAATAGTGCAAAAGTGTCAGTCATAATGACTAACTATTTGGCTCATGGTTATAAGAATTTGTTAATATTGTGTGAAGATAAGGATTCTGTAACTTCCACTTACTTAGCAATTTAAATTACTTGAAAAGAAATGTCCATAACTATGCTCACATTAACATAGTCATGTCCAATATGCAGTTATATCAAATCGTTTCCCTACTGAAAACAAACGCATGTCAATTAATATCAAGCTTTGATTTTCAGTGTATTTTACCCAGATAATGTGAATGCCGTACATACTGGAAATGGAGACATATGATTTTACCATCTGTGAACACCTATCAGCAAGAATAATAGACTCTGTCTTTGGTCTAAGCACAGAGAACTGAAAAAGAAAGCCACTTCCTTCTTCACAGAGAGAACCAGTCTACAGTACATGTCAGTAAGATGTATAAGTGTAAATTCGTGTTCACCTGACACTTTCGCCTGAACAAGCGACGCAGAAACATCTGGTAATTAAAAGTCGAAATGTCATTATTTCCGAGACACCCACACAGAAGCCTCACAATCAGTTCTTGAAGAAGGGAACTTCCAGAATCCTCTGCTCCATCAGTCAAAAGAGCCTCTTCCAGTTCCTAAAAAAGCACATATTAAATTAATACATTCACCACATTTGCAATGGATGCAACTGCAGTGAGCAAGTACCAAACTGAATTTATACTCAACTGCTTGGCACACAAATTTTGATACTATATGCATACTGATCACATCATTAAAGAATTAAAAAATAAAGCTTAAGTTATGAACAAAGTGTATCTGGAACATAAATTACAGCAGAAATTACATAAATCAGGACTCAAAAGTATGACTAAAATCTACCAGTGACTTAATACAGCCCAGTCACCCATAAATGAGTAACTCAAGTAACAGCTCCATGGAACTGGGTCCTTCTTGAGAAGTCACCAGTTGTGCAGCTATTCAAGAATTTCCCAACATTTTATGGAACCTGAATGTTCATTACCATGTTCACAAGAGTACTCCACTGGGCTGTATCCTGAGTAAGATCAATCCAGTCCATACCATCCCACCCTATTGCTCTACGATGCATTTTAATATTATCCTCCCACATACATGTTGGTCTTCCTAGTGGCATTCCACCAATATCCTATATGTGTTTTTTTTAATTTGCTTAGTGAGGGGTGGAGTCCAACTGCATCCACTCACCACGGCGGCCACTGATTGCCCTATTGTAGCCTACCTTGGGTGATTATGATGATGGAGAATTTGGGGGAATGAAGACTGGCAGGGGAAACCTAAGTACTAGGAGAAAACACTCCCCAGCGCCACTTTGTTCACCACAAAGACCACTTGATCAGACCCGGGATCAAACCCAGGCCGCCGCGGTGGGAAGCCAGTGACTAACCACTTGAGCTATGGTGCAGCCTCCTATATGCATTCCTCTCCGCTCCATTCGTGCTACATGCTCTGCCCATCTCACCCTCCTTGACTTGATCATTCTAATTGTACTTGACGCAAGTTAAGGAACTCCTCATTATGCATTTTTCTCCAGTCTCCTGTCACTTCATCCCTCTTTGGTCAAAATATTCTCCTCACACCCTGTTCTCGAACACCCTCCATCTATTTTCCTCCCAAGATTCACACCCATATAGAACTGCATGCAAAATTAGTTTTGTATATTCTAATTTTTACGATTTCCAGACAGCAGACGAGAAGACAAAAGATCCTGAACTGAAATGTAGCAAGCAATACCCAAATTCTATCTCCTCTTAATTTCCTCCTGAATCAAATTCTGATTTGTCGCTGTTGTACCCAAATATTTGAACTGTGCTACATTTTCAACCGATCTGTTAGCTATCTTTATGTCATGATTTCACTCTGCATTCTAGTGATCAAACAGCAACATCTACTTAGTTTTCTCTGAATTTACTTCTATACCAACCTCCTTAATAGTGTCAATTAAAGTTTCTGTGTTTTCTTTATGGTTCCTATGTTATTTCCAAATAGATCTGCATCATCAGCATAGCCCAGCAGCTGATGTGTCAATTTAATTTCAGCCAAACCTGGTTTTCCTGGGCCTTCCTACTGGTAAAGCAGAGTTGAAATGCGATGGCAATTAACATCTCCTTGTTTCAGAGAATTCTGAGTACAAAAGAATACCATCTTCAGGGATGTGGCGCCATGTAGATCTAGTGTAAACCAACGTTTCAGAGGCATGTATCGCCTCCATCTTCAGGGTAGAAAAATCCTGAAGTGAGGAACCAGAATCCACCTGTTCACACCTGGTTCCTCGCTCGTGGATTTTTCTACCCTGAAGATGGAGGCATTACGTTCTTCTGAAAAGTCAGTTTACACTACATCTACATGGCGCCACATCGCAGATGACAGCATTCTTCATAGTCACTGCCGTGGAAACCTCAAATCTTACCGAATACAAAACTTATGAGACAGATGTTTCCCTATACCAACATTACCGCAGGTTTAAATTAACAAATTTTAATTGGCTTAACTAGTTTCATGGGTACCCAAAACTCTATGAGATTACTGTACAACATTTCCCTCCTAACTACACCATAGCCTTTCTTGAAGTCTATGAATAGCTGATGTGCTGTCTCCTTGTACACCATTTTTTCTCCAGCATCTGACAATTGCAAAAATGTGATTAGTAGTTGATCTGTTATGTTGAAACCCACACTGATGATCCCCCAATAATTCTGTCTATATTAACCTTGATAGAAGGACACTGGATGAAATTTTGAAGTCATTAAAAGTGTTATTCCAAAATAACTACTACAGCCAGTTTCATTGCCCTTCTTGTAAACTGATCTGGGAATTCTTCCTTATTCCAAATAGAATACACCCATCTGTGCACTGCAGCAAATTTAGAGACGTAAGTATATTTATACCCTTAATTTTATGCTGTATTAATCCAGGTAATACAACACAAAATTAAGGTTAAAATGTACTTGCCTCTGTAAACTTTCTGCAATGGACAGATGGGTGTATTTCGTTAACTCCTGACACAAACATGTATGACAGCAGGTTGAACAACACAACTAAAGCAACTACTTACTGGACTCAACACACACAAAATGTGCAACAGAGTTACTTATTTTACCTCAATATCAAAGTCCAAGAGATTGAATGCTGCTCGAAACAACGAACAGAAATGAGCAATACTTGGTACTTCCCACCATGACTGTATATCTGCAAGAAATGAGAAGTTATTTATTTTTCACAGGTGCGAACAAAATACAACAAGTATGGTTTACCTTGATAAAAGGGTACATACCGACTCCTGAGCAGTACATGTAAATAACATCTGATAAGCAAAGATACTTACTTTTAGAAAATTCAAGAGATATTTTGAAAGAAGCTGATACAGATGTCAAATGCCCCTACAAAAAATGATATAACTGAGCAGAAGATGCAATTAACACATGTAAAGGTAAAGTTATCCCTGTGCTTAACTAAACATTATGCCAGGAAGGCGTATGGGGGAGTGGATGTATAGATCCACATTTTATTGACCTTGGGACTAGCTGGAGGTGAGTGGTCAGATCCATGTCCTGACCGCTTTAGCCCCAGCGAAACAGCCCCAAGTACCCACTAAATAGGGGGTTGGGTGGACCCCAGAGCCAGTCTGGACAACGTGAAGAGAAAATTCCTGACCTTACCAGGACTGGAAGTCCAACCCCAGTTGTCCAGCCCGTTGCCAGTCGCTATACCGACTACGCTATCCTGGCTCCTTGTACCTAGCACATGACTAGGTAAGATGCTTATTTCTTCAAAATTCGAGATATATTTAAAAGAAACTTATATAGATCCTCAGTGCCCCTAAAACAAAAGTGTCACATATTTATGAACGAATGTTTCATTTATTATGTCAAGCGAGTTAACTTCATGTGTACATATAAGCATGTTTTAACTGAATGATGAAACTTCAAAGGGTCAGCTAAGTTATACTACCCTAAACGAAATAATGTATGCTACAGCTACACCATAATTCCAACGAGAAAATAATGTAATACAGTGGAAACTTAGCATAGTATTAAAAAAGATTGCAATCTGTAACAAATCTACGGCAAACACTTTAACAACACCTGTGTTTTAATTACATTCTAACCTATACGTTAGGCCTAAGGTTGATATACCCTATTTCCCCACTTCGGGCACGTTTTCACCGAATACCCCTTGCAATCTATGACCACACATAGCAAGAGTGTCATTATCTACAGCAAATATGATATTTACCATCCATCGATATCCCCTTTATAGTGTCAAATTATAAACTATTTGTAGTGCAAACACAATATAATGCCTCCTATGTTTAGCTGTTTTGAATCACCGGAAGTACTCAACGTCCGGGACCTACTGACATGAAGAACAAGTGAAAAACTATCCCCGATTGCTCGCGTATTCTTTTGTTAGCTGGTACGTGATGAAATAGCTACAACTGGGAAATTGTAGGGAACAATAGATATATTTTGGGAAAGCAATACAGGAACCAAAGTACAATTCCATGTTGTTCTTGTTATGTATTCTATCGGATGTTCTGAACGTCGAATATTACTCCAAACTATCGAAGCATATAAAATATATCTCACATCTACCTCTTTAAATAATCTCCACTTGCGTCTTAGTTTCGTTCGAAACCAAAAGTGCCATGCTCCATAGAAAGTCTTTCGTTTGACAAATTTTTAGGTATTGGGAAACTATGTGTTGAAGCTTTATTAACATTAGTCAGGAGCGATCAGGAGGCTCCTGTGAGATATTTTAAATTTGCTAATAACAAACATTTATTTGCTATTTTAGATACGAGATTGTAACAGCGGTGTCTGTGACCACTTCTATGACGATCGACGGGATATCTCAGGGATATAACGCCACGTAGTCCGTGTAGGAGCAACTCTTCTCCCGAAACTTCGGTTGATTTGCAGTGAAGTACGCGGCGATTTTTCCCAGAAGACAGAAATTATTATTTCCTCTGCTTGTAAGGTAAACAGGGGTTCATCCATTGATGAACACTTAAATTCTGTTTATTCAGAGTGTGGTCTTATGGGTTGTGACATTGTGTGGTCTTGTAGGCTAATACCGAGGTTTTGGAGGAATATGCCTTCATCTTCATCTTTGCATTGCGTATTTGAACCCACTACAAAATTCCTCTGAAACATCGTTATCTGACCACAAAAATATATGGTGTCACAACCCAAACGACTTTAATCTGAACCTATGAACTTCTCTTAAATCACCAAACAGCTCATTTCTCGAATTTTTGTTCGTAAGTACTTTGTAAATGCTCTGGCGTAGGCGCCGGGATGGGGTTCAGCCGCATGCGGGCGTCCTGTTTTTTTGAGCGGTGTCGAAGAAGCCAAGGGTTAGTCGCTGACTTCCCAACGAGGCGGCCCGGGTTCGATACCGGGTCTGGTCCAATGAGATTTGTGGTGGACAAAGTGGCGCTGGGGCAGGTTTTCTCCGAGCACTTCGATTTCCCCAGCCAATCTTCATTCCACCAAGTTCTCCATCGTGATGATCACCCGGGGCAGGCTACAATAGGCCAATCAGTGGCCGCCGTTCCAAGTGGAGCCAGTAGGACTCAACCCTCCACTAAGCGAGAAGCGAAGCCCAGAATCATGAACATCATGAACGTTGAGTTGGCAAAATTTGTTATACGATTCTAACAAAGTAGGTTATTTAACGACACTGTCGTTATGGAGACTACATAGCATCGAAGGCAGGATGATTAATGAATATGGAGCAGTTTATGGAATGGTAACTGACAGGGGACACCAAAGTACTCGGAGGAATCCCACCTCAGCGTCACTTCGTCCATCAGAAGCATCGTATGACCTGACCTAGCCTCATACCCGGGCCGCCTGGCTAGGTAGACTCAAATGTAAGATCTCCTCGGATGCAACTCCGTGTAGTCCGGTGGAAGTGCATCAGCGTTTCATAGAAAAATACTGCCTTCGTTATCAGGTTCTAAGCCATGCTCCTAAAAGTCTATGGACTTCTGCCGGACTACATAGCCTTATCTCTTTGAAGACGGTATTGTTTATAATCACTGCTGTGATAACTTTAAATGTGTTACAATTGCTGGATTTGAGATCCTCACAGCGGTGACCGTGAATAGTGCGTCCTTCTTCGTTGTAACGCCGTGAAGTACGGAGAATGTCTGACATTTCGGAGGAATATATCGTCTCCATCTTCATGATCGAAAAAAAAAGCCAAGCAAGAAATAAGCGGCAAATTAATGTTCTCAAGAAATTAAACAGGAGCTTGCTTTTGCTGGTTTGCTGCTTGGCTTACTTTTTGGTCCTGAAGATGGAGGCGATATATTCCTCCAAAATGTCGGGCGTTCAAATTATACAACCCAGTTTCTTCATGTACGCACAGTTTAACGTCTTGATCCGTATTGGTCTCGAATCAAGTGTCATTGACTAGGGATTATTACGTCATGTTTCCCTTTCCTGCCATCTAGGAACGTACATTCATTGACATTGCAGAGCGCAGACAACTGTGAGGTCTGGGTGGGTAACCGCACTAAATTTTGCCTACCGTTCTTGCTGAGTTGTACATTGGGTTCACTGTTTAATCGACAGTATGATCCAAGGTTAATCGACGTTAATGGCATTTTGCCCATTTTCGTCGGTGGCCCGCGCTGAGTTGAGAGCAGGGGGGTGAAACTCCCACTGGGGAGAGGGAAACATGCAGAACACATGTAAGATTTGAGGCTTTCACGGCGTTGACTATGAAGAGAGCAGTCTTCTGGGATTTGGCACCGTGTATATGTGGTGTTAACCGACGTTTCGGAGGAACGTATCGGCTCCATCTTCAGGGTAGAAGAAAAAATATAAGAAATCTGCAAGCGAAGAGACCGTGAGAACCGGTAAAAAAAGCAGCTTTTACCGGTTCTCACGGTCTCTTCGCTTGCAGATTTCTTATATTTTTTCTTCTACCCTGAAGATGGAGGCGATACGTTCCTCCGAAACGTCGGTGAACACCACATATACACGGTGCCAAATCCCAGAAGACTGCTTTCTTCATGCAGAACACATGCTACATTAACTAGATCGAACTGGATAGTCTGGAACGGTCTGGAAATGACTGGAATCGATCATAATGATCATAATCGATCATAATACACCTATCGCAATTAATCGAATCGCATAAGTGTGAGCCAATCAGAGGATCATAAATTTCCGAGGAAGATTTTAGGCGTTGGCTCAGTAAGACTGGTAGTTTGTAATCGTAATGATATTTGTACCCCATTGAGGTATGTCGTGCAATTAATTAGATTAATGATTTGATGTTGTGAAACGAGAGTCGACATTTACGCATGAATTTACATCTGTGTGTTACTTATGTATATGGATTATTCTTACTGCGCCCAGTGCAATTAGAGACAAACATTAAGTCAGTGTTACTACGATACTTCATCCAAATCGTATTTATGTATTTTAAGCGTCTTTCGGCGTAGCCTAAAGAAGGACCGTACAATCTCAAGAAAGTGAGAGTGTACTGTGATTCTGTTATAATTTTTGTATTGTTTCTTGCAGTATAAATGGGAAGGAAAAAGAAGTGTTTTGCTCCAGGATGCACGTCTTCCAGTGAGGAAACTGGAATGATATTCTTCAATTTTCCCAGGGATTCAGCACGGTATGAGCCAGATCTGAAATATTATTATAAAACACATTGTAATATTTTGGCCAGTGTTATTAAAGGAGTAAAAATCTTCATTATAATCAATTAATTTCTAATTCTAGTAACAAAATGAAAACCACCTGTAGCATTATAAAATCAGACACAGGTAGAAAAATTAATAATGCAGGTATACAGTTTTTAAACATTGATGGGAAGTTAACTGATAATCATGATGTGATTACAGATTCTTTTAAAAATTATTTTCGAACAATAGCTGGACAACATCAATACCAATAATGTTCATCGGCATTTTCTGAGATTTGAAGAAAACTTTTGACTGTGTCTATATCTGTCTGTCTCTCTATCTGCCTCTCTCTGTATAAAGTAGAATTTTATGGAATAGTTGGAATATGGAATGTATGGAATATGGAATAGCCAGTGCAGTGATAAAATCCTATGTGAAAGATAGGTACCAAAGGGTAAGTCTATTTTGCTCATTGGAGGAATAATTTAACTTCAGTATTAATTAATGATCTTGGTCTGTTATATGCCGGATGCCTAGTAGTATACTTTTATGTTTCATTATTGTAGTCTTGTGTCATTAGTGTGCTGCATTCTTTCACATACACGTATATATTTGAAAACTGTGTTAATGATTTACTCACTGTGATTTGTCTTTGATAATATGTGTAATTGTTATGGGTTAAATATAATTAATTTTTATTTATGTCATTGATGGAACTTGTCCTGTTGTCTTTGACTATTACTATATCCACTGTTCTTCCAACCATGTAAGGATTAATGGAAAGTAAATAAATGTATGAATGAAGAAAGCAGTCTTCTGGGATTTGGCACCGTGTATATGTGGTGTTAACCGACGTTTCGCAGTCTGCTTGACCGTGTCTCACGGTGTTGTCGCTTGCAGATTTACTTATACTTCTTCAACCCTGAAGATGGGGGCGATACGTTCCTCCGAAACGTCGGTTAACACCACATATACACGGTGCCAAATCCCAGAAGACTGCTTTCTTCATAGTCACCGCCGTGAAAGCCTCAAATCTTAATGTATGAATGTCTGTTTTAGTACATGACNTTAATGATCTTGGTCTGTTATATGCCGGATGCCTAGTAGTATACTTTTATGTTTCATTATTGTAGTGTTGTGTCATTAGTGTGCTGCATTCTTTCACATACACGNGAATTATTTCAAGGTTTTGAGACAATATGTAATACTCTTACAGGGCTATGGTATGGGCAGGAAGAGTTGGGTTATCCTGTACTACTGATTCTGCTAGAATGTTGCACAATAAAGTTCTGTGCAACTAACATTTCTCTGAAAGTGATTTCACTACAACTGAAAGGGTACACCTGAACAGATGTGCAGCAGGCCTCGGTGCTCTAGTGGGTACAGGTAAGCACTGTATGTTTCTTATATGAATGAAGTGACTAATAATGAGGACTAGTTTTCAAAGTTACTGCCTCAGAACCCAGTTTTAATCAAACAAACATCATTATCATCTGACTTGAATTGACTTCTGAAGCTGTATATCAATATACAAGTTATGTAGAATATGTCACAAATCCTGTTTTTAGGATAATTAAAAAATATTTGAAAAGCAGACAACACTGTCAGTGATATGATTAAGGTGAATTAGGTGGCAAAGATTTTAATATGAGGAATAATGTAATGAAATGTACAAGTTTTGTATAATGTTAGTCTT